GCTGGCTAGACAGGACTGTCATTGTAAATCTCTGGTCTGTTTGGAATCTCTAGAGACCATTTAGATGTTTTTTGAGGTGCAGACTGTGTAGAAAGAATCCCCTTTGAATTACACCCATTTAAAAAATAAGAGGACTTCTAATGCCTCAACCCCAGCTTCCCCACAGGTTTTTCTCCTCTGTGGTGACCGTGTCTGTAGAGGTTGAGGTGCAATCGCTCGTTGACACTTGAGGTGAAGTAAATGAGAGGTGATGGTGGAAAATGGAATAAATACGTGTTGTCAGAGTCCCTAAGAATATACAGTGAGGGGAAGGGCACAGTTCCCAAGCCTTTCCATTCAGCTTGCCTTTCTCGGGTCACTTCCTCAGTGTCTGACTCATCTGTGGAATCCATGAGGGGAGTGTGTGTGTGAGACTGTGTTTGTGAGATTGTGTGTGCAATTGTGAGTGTAACTGTGTGTGTCTGTGACTGTGCATGTGTGTAGTGGAGGCAACAGCAATAAAGGTGGTGGTGTTAGCATGGGCCATGGTCAAGGTCACTTTTGGCTGTGTGGGGTATGGGGCAGAGAATAGGAGAGAGGCAGAACAAATTCCCACAAGATTCCTAGGGTTTGGGAAATGCTATGATTGGGATCTCTGGCAAAAAGTCTCAAATGAGATTTTTTTATCCCTTTTTTCTCTGACGCCTTCATTTCTATCCCTAGTCCCCATGTTCTTTCAGCGTTTGACTTGCTTTTTCTGTGTCTTAATAGCTGCCCCACTAGCCTCAGCTACTGTGAGTTTCAATCCTCCTTCCTGCTACTCTGGAATAGAAACTTGGTGGAGGAGAGAGAGGGTTTAGGGTCAGCATCTGCACCCCCCCAAGAAGAGAAAGAGAAGCCTGCCTGCGGAAGGGTCCTTGCTTCCGTGTGCACGTTGCTGGTGTGGGTGGGGAGCGGTGAGGACCAGATCAGACCTGAATTAAGAAGGTGCCACCCAGGGGGCAGCCTGCCTTACTGCTTCTGAGAGACACAAGCACAAAGACCAGGAGGTGGGAGTGGGGAAGCCAGTGAGATGGGAGGGGGGGTATCTGTGTGCACAAATGTAGTTTTTCTTTATCTTAAAAAAAGGCAGAAACTCTTAGTTTTAAGTCACAATCAATTTCCAGAAATCATTTATTTCTCAACATTACCAGTCAAGTACCCCATTTCTTTCTGCTTTTAGATTTGGAGTGAAATTGATTTGTGTTTTTAATTTTAAAGAAATGTCCCTCTGGCTTGGAAATTCTGGGCACAGGTTTTCTCTCTTCTCTTCTCCAGTCTCTCTCCTCTCGACTTCTTATCAGCACCAGGGAGGGTCCCTGGAGTCGAGCCAAGGTAATCATTTTAATTTGCCTTTTTCTTTACACTATTGGTGATACAGTATAAGAAACATTTTTTTTCTAGAAGTGGATATCTGTAAAGACCATTTTCAAAGAGATACAAGTAAGAGTGGCTATGTGAGTGGGATTCTAGAGAGAATGTGGTTTTTTTTTATCATCATTATTTACTAACCTTTTATTCAGGGACTGTGATGGAAGATCGACAAAACAACCCTCATCCCGTAATCAATTATGGTTGGAAGACAATAAACAGCTATTCAATGTTTCTTTCATGTTCTGGGAAAGAAGGATGCATCGACTATCTTTAAAGCTGGGGGCCTTTACACACATCCTGGATGGGCCATCATAATTGGCTTCTTTAATCCAATCATTTCTGCAAGCTTGGCTCTAATGAAGATAACAATAATGATGATAGAAACAATATCTTACTTTGGTGTTAGCTGTTAGGTTTATGAAACAATGGCATATGCATTGTGAAACTAAATTCTCTTGACTGTCCCGTGAAATAGTTATTATTGCCCCCATTTTGCCAATGAGCCAACTCTCAGAGAGTCTGAACTTGAAACCGTATTCCTGCCGCTACATCCATGGAGAACAGAGGGGATATTCTCTTGCCACAGTTGTAAAGACTGAGGCCAACTGAGATGGAACACACAACCAGGAATGAGTTGAGATGGATACAAAGTACCTGGCACTCTGAGCAGACTCAGAGTGGGAGATTCTTTTTTTTTTTTAATTGTAGTAAGACCATTTAATACAAATCTACCCTCTTAAATTGTTAACTACAGGAACAGGGCTGTACAACAGATCTCTAGAACTCAATTCATTTTATGGAGCTGATACTCTGTACCCACTGAATAGCAACTGCACTTTTCTCCCTTGCAAACTACCATTCTAATCTCCACTTCCGTGAGTTGGACTATTTTACCTCGTGTAATTAGAATCATATAGCATTTGTCCTTCTGTGCTGGCTTATTTCATCTAGCATAATGTCTTCAAGGTCCATCCATATTGTCACATCTTGCAGAATTTCCTTCCTTTATTAAGGACTCAAACAATTTAAAAGAGAACAAACGTATGATCCAGAAACCCAACTCCCAGGTATTTATCTAAAATAACTGAAATCAGGATTTTGAAGGGATATCTGTACTCCCATGTCCATTGCAGCATTACCACAATATGGAAATAAACTATATGTCCATTGACAGATGAATGGATAAAGAAAATGTGGTGTATATATATACATGGACTATTACTCAGCCTTAAACAATAAACAGAATTCCTTTTAAAGTGCAGCTTCTTTCAAATTCTGACTCTACCCATATGAAGTTAGAGGGCTTGGACATATTCATTGAGTTCTCTCAACTTTAGTTTCCTTGTCCATAAAATGGGAGTAATAGTGTGTGTCTCCTAAAAAATTAAATGAAATGATGCATGTAAAATGCCTAATATGCATTCAATATCTGCTAGTTGCTATTATGCCAGCTAGTACCTATATGGACCAACGATTCCTAGGCCTTCTTTAAGTCATTATCAGACACAAGTGAGAGAGAGACTGTCCATTGATCTGTTAAGCCTAGCAAATTCCCTCAAAATGTATCAGCTTAAAACAACAATTCTCCCAGTTTGGGTAGATCAGCATTTCAGGAGACGCTCACTAGAGTGGTTCAGACAGGGTCTCCCAGGAGGTTGCAGGCAGGACGTTGGCCTGGGCTGATGGCGTGTAAAGGTTTGCCTGGAGCTGGAGGGTCTGATTCCAAGATAGCTCAACTGCAGGTTGATGGTGACTGCTGCAGGAGGCCATGTGGCTTCCTCCACAGTGCTGCTTGCACTTCCTTACAATATGGTGAGGTGGCTGTCTTCCCCTAGACGTGGCAACCCAATGGCCCGCAAGATCCCAGTGGAGGCTGCCACAGAGCCCCTTCCTACAGACTCAGGACTAGCATCTTTGTACCAGGAAGTGTTTGGGGAAGACCTCAGCCCTTCTAATTAGGTGCTTATGATGAAATAGCTGTTGGCAAACAACCCCTCAGAAACCAGGGGGTCAACTTCAGCAAGTGCTTCGCTGCCTGGCAGAAAAGGGGTGAAGCCAGCAGAAACTTCACAGATTGACACAGTGAGGCCCAGAGAGTCCTAGCGATTTGCCAGCCTACCAATTTCTAACCTGCCTTCCTTCTGCATCTTACCCTGGGGGCCTGGAAAGACAAATTTCTACACCCCAACCGGCCACAAAAGAATAATTCAGCTCCCATCTTCCAAGGCAGAGGTTCCCTGCATCAGCAGGTGCTAGGAACCATTAGGAGTATTTGCTGAACTTAAAGATTCCAGGTTGCCAGGCTGGGAATCTGTGTTTTTAATAACCATCCCTGGTGATTCTTAATACTAAGTTTGGGAAGGCCTAAGGTACTTTAGTCAAGAGCTGATGGAATTAGGCAATCTGAGCCCCTCTTCCTGTCACACCATGTGTGCACTGAAATTGGTGTGGGCCTTGGGACTCAGCCTTAGCTAGCTAGCCTTGTGCAACCTCCACTTTCCAGCTTCTCTGCGTCTCATCTTGCATATGTGCATTTCTGGACTAATACTGCTCCCCTCCACTGCCAACACCAAATTAACAACCCATGAAAACGCACATAAAATGTGGGTGTGATTTGTCTGTTTGGACAGGCAGGGGGTTCCCTGGATGTTTGGAGATAATTTTTTGGTTAAATTGTGTATCTTTTCCTTTCATGTTTGGAAAAACAAATTGGCTTCTTTACAGTGGCCTCTTCTCTCGTTCCTCATTTCCTGCTGTGGAGACAAATCTCCCTATTTTTTTGAAGTCCCCAACTCACACATAATCAATCTGTTTATAAACCAACACTTTCAGCCCAAACATTGCATAAAGGAAAGAAGTGAGGGGGGGGTATCCTTTGTCTAACCACAGAATATTTCCCTAGATTTCCACTGTCCAAAACTGACTTATTGACTGTGAAAAGGAGCTCGTCCATTCTGCAGAAAAAAACGTGAGGTTTGGTTCTGGCCCACCTCGTCTGTGCTCTTATAGTTACTGAGTCCCTACTGTGTGTGCCTTTGTAAAGAAAGTAAGAGTAACACTGATATGAATTCAGTACTCATGTAACCTAAGCAGGGGAGAGGGAAAGGGACACAATTTCAGCACATGGTGGAATGTGAACAGGGTCTTAGGAGAAATAAACATAAAGTGTTAGGGAGGCTTCCAGAACAGGAGAACATTCCAGACAACAGCAAAGAAGGCACAGGGTAGAGAGGTTAAGGGCGTGACGCTCTGGGGCCGTATCCTAGGGTTCAAATCCCAGCTCCCTCTCATGTTAGCTTCTTGATACGGGGCAAGGCCACTGCCCTCTCTGGACCTACGCTGCCTCATCTGTAACAGGGGGAAAATAAGAGCCTTCATTTTAGGGATGATAGGATAATTCAATGAATTGATGTAAACAAAGCAACTCGTCGGTGTCTGGTATGTAGCAAGGACTCCAAAATTGTTAGAAATGTTAGCTGTTCTTGAGCTAAGCCTTGATGGATGCGTGACAATTGGCAAGTACAGATGGAGGTCAACAGGGAGATCATTCTGAATTAAGACAATAATAAGAGAAACATCAAAAACTGGGGGAACTGCCAGGCACTTACGGGATGTGGGGAGCTGCCTTTAGCTGAAGAAAAGGGTGAGTAGGGAATGGCCGAAGATCAGGGAAGGATGCGTTGAGATCACATCTCCCTCTTGCTGATGGCTGGATCACTCCGCTGATGACACTCACGTAGGAAAATGTTCATTGTAGAGTTCTGGTGGGGAGTACATGGTGGTCAGAACAATTATTTCAACTTTTGGGAAGAAATGGTTATGCTAAGAGAGTGGTGACATATCGTTCTCTTTCACTTTGCTAAGTATTTCATCTCAACAACTGTCTCTGGTAAAATTCCCTCCAGCTTGCCAACAAAAAAAGTCCACAGCTACGAGGCATGGTGACTTTTACCCCAGCAGCTTACCGACAGTCTTTAACAATATTTTACAAGATTTAGATTTGGCAAAGTATTTGCCTTGTTTGAAGGCCAACTAATTCTTTCTCCCTTCTCTCTTTTTGCTACAAAGAAATGATCTCTTCCTCAATGAACAGGTCATATACAATGATAGTTTATCATGACCACCTTTTTTCCCCAAATCGAGTACAGTCCCTCTCATGCAAATGGGCAAGGATTTCAGCCTCTAGAGGCAGAATTTCTCAAGGATCCCCTTTTAAACTTCAGGAATTTCCTTTTGAGATTCAAGGCATGCAAGTTTGAGAAGAGAGCAAACAGTGAGAACCACAGAAAGCAAGGAACATTCTGTCTAGGGAAGGGCAGAGAAGCAATGCCTGGTGGGATGAGGGGGTCAGGAAAAAAGAAACCAGGGAAACAAATATTTATGATAAAGCTGTTTAGGGTAGATTGCTGCAGAAGAAGAAATACTGACACTACTCCATCTCCAGAGAAAAACCTATGGTAAAGTCTTAAAAAGGACAAAAAAAATCAAGTGATATTGGGTGTGATTGAATACGTGCAGGAAAGACACAGCAGGGCCCAGGCCCTGCATGGGCAAGAGGGAAGGTCTACATTTAATGTCAAAAACAGCGGCTTCTTTCATACAAACCACAGCCCGAGGAGGAGGGGTAGTAGGGTCTCTCCCTTCACCCCTCGCCCATGAGGCAATGGGATTCGAGGGGTGAAGGGACTTGCTTCTTATCACATAGCTGGTAAATGACAAAGCCAGGGCCATATTTTTGGATGGGGGGTGATGATAAAATCTGTGCCAGGGGGTCTACATAGCCCTTATTTCCTGATATAGGGGCCCTGCCTTACCCATCACAGTATCCTCTAAGCTGAGTGTAAACCCAGCACAGAGTAGATCCCATTCTTGTTTATTGGGTGAATGCTTCAAGGACCCCTTTTCTCCAGCATACAGCTGGAGGAGGGGTGGTTTAATGGGAAGGCAACTACTTAGGTAGCACTGACTCTGGTTGTGGAGTAATGGGGACATCGATGCTTTAGAGAGTACATGATGCTAAGCAAGTAAATCTCATGAGGGACTGGATCCTCTCTGAGAAACTGGCAGTGGCTTTCACAAGCAATTGGAGGGGGCTGTGGTCACAGGGTCCAACCATTTGCTTTTAAAGCTATTTACAAGCCACGGTGTGCATGTAGTGTAGGTTGCCAGACCCTCTGATATCCTGGCCCAGAATAGAATAAGTCATGACTCTACCTTCCAAGGAACAGGCTGGCCTCACAAGCTGTGCACCTAATTAGACTAATAATCTGTATAAATTAGCATTTGCTAGTGATAAATATCACACGCCGAGCCTTAAATAATACATTAGACTTAATTGAATAAATGCATATATTATGGTCTTCTAATGCATATTTGCCATAATGAGTTATCTTTCATGCACAAACAAACAGTAATTCTCATTAATCAGGTGGAGTAATTGTGCTATTAAAACTCCAGGTTCCCTGAGAAAGGTCTCAGTTTTGGTCAGGTGACAAAAAATATATATATATTTTCCTTGATTATTTTGGATAAATTTCCTGTCTTTGGGAATCCCCCTGTCTTTGAACCCCTAGGTTTTTGCAGTGATATTGAGGTCTCTACTCATTTCCCACTCCCAGAATTGGGATTCAAGCTTCAAATCTACTATTTACTCACTGTGATCTTGGACAAGTCATTTGAATTCCTATCGGTTCAGAGGGGGAATTACAGCACTTCTCTTACGAATTTGAAAGAATTTGATTTGTTACATGTAAAGCATCTCACCCAGTGGCAAGCACATAGAAGGTACTTGGGAAATGCAAGCTATTATCATTATGAAACATTAAATAACTTGCCATCTATCATCTTATTTAATCATGATGAGAAAAATGTAAAGGAGGCAGAGCAGATACTATTATGGCCAATTTTAAAAATGAAAGAAACTACCCCAAAAATTAAATGATGGGTTTGTTTAACCATTCAATGAATATTTAACGGTGATCCCCTTTTTATTTATCTATTTGTCACAATGCCAAGAGTTGGAGATACAAAGATAAAAAGACCAGGCCCCCTTTTTTACCTGGGTGAACCTACAGGGGAATGTAGGGGTGAAGAGACGATACTAAGAAATCACCGATATGTATAGTGTTGCCACAAAGAAAGTATACAAAATGCATTGACAGAATCCAGCAGCACCCAAGCCATTCTCTAAAAGCCAAGGAGTTCTCGAAGAGATGATCAGAGGTAAGTGGGATGCGGAAGAGGAAGAATTTGATGGGAGCTTTGGGATTGCGGGATGCTTTCCAGGGAGAGGGAACGCGCATCTCAGAGAGCCGGACATGGGGAAACAAGTTAAGCTTAAGGAATTACAAGAAAGTCAGTGTACTAGTGTTCACTCTCTTAGGTACTGGCACTTGGGTTAGTTATGGGGTCTGTCTTCTGGGGACTTTCCTCTGTACTGTAGGACGTTTAGCCACACCCCGACCTCTATTCACTAGATGCCAATCACATCTCCCTGTTCTCCACCACCTGTGACAATGAAAAGTGGCTCACGCATGGCCAGACGTCCCTCTGGGGCAAAAACCTCCCATGGCTGAGAACCACGGATCTAGAAGGTAGGCTGCAAGGGGAAGAGTTATGAAAGGTGAGGCTGAAGTGGCAGCCAGGGCATGGCAAGATCCTTCTGCCATACTAAGGAAATTCCTATTTTTCTTTTAGGTGGTTGGGAACAATCTTGTTATGAGGTCGTGGGGCAGGATGAGGTAGTCCTTTTATCATAACTTACATAGAATGTACATTTTCTCACTTTTCTTTCCCAGCCTGTGATTCATTAACAACAACAGTTCAGGTTGTACTGCCTCCTGTCCCCACAGCTGACGCAGGACCTCTTCTCCCCTCTCCTGTTAAATGGTTTTGTTTTGAATCCCTAGAAATTTCTCCCATACATTCATGAACACATTTTCTGCAGCTTCCACTGCTCCATCAGGGACTGTTGCTGTGCTGGACAGAATTCCACACAGAAGGCCAATGAGTCATCACTGGGACAATATGCACCAAACCATGTCCTTCACGGGCCAGTCTCAGAGCCTCATAGCAAGCAACACGGTCCAGTCCCCCAAACACACTCTCAGTACAAATTCATTTTCTTTACTTCCAAATCCTCAAACATAAGGTAGCAATGCCATGCACAGACCACATCCACACTCATAAAACCACTCCCTCTCCTTCTAGCCACATCCCTTACACCCATCAGTTTTCTGGCACCATTCACTTAAAACAAGCCACACACACACACACACACAGCCCAATCACAACAGAGAACCCCCCATCCCCTCTCTGTGGAGCTTGGCTTTGTGCTTCGGAGGAAACTCCTCCAGCCGCACTGCACGGGCCTCTTGTCCTTCTTTCCTGCCTCCGCTGGTCTCTGTGGTTCTTTCTCTATTTTTTGTATCATAAAAACCTATGGAACCCATAAAGCAATTACAGAGCAGTCCTTGGAGGGCAAGAGACAAACTGGGGGGCAAAGCCAGAAACCCCCTGGCTGTCAACCAGAAGGGCAAGGCTAAGAATTTTGGCACCGTCCCAAAGATGTTGCAGTCCACACGACTGGCACTTGTCACTAACTGACCAGCACTGCACTGGGGCTGCCACTGCTTCACCAGTCCCTGCTGTGTCTTTTCTTTTCCACACTAGATGGTTTTCTTGGGAGAGTATTTCTGCACCTCTGTCCACCAGGCACCATAATTTCTCATATTGTTCTCAAGTTTCCTACAGGCGATTGCCGATGACCTGCCAGGTGTCGCTACCCTTTGACACTTGAACCATCACAGAGCAAAAGAGCCTCATCAGCTTGAGGTTGCAGGGGATGTTTAACTCCCCTTCCACCTTTATGTTACATTTGGTACAGGGGTCCTATAGTAGTGCAGACCATTCTTTACTGCTTAAAATAATTTGCTGAATGGAGCCTATATTGCTTATTTACAGCACCCACACCTTCCATTTGGCTGGCTTAGCAACAGATAAAAAATAACCATGGTACTGTAACTAACCCATTCTTCCCTCTGATGACTAGATCTGGTTCACGGGTCAGCTGACTTGGCAACCTTCTCCTCCCCTAGGATGTGCATACGCACTGCCCAGTGTTTGCCCACCAGCACCAGCCTGTGCTGCGGACAGTGCTTCTCAGTACTTAGCTTAAAGCTGGGCCGCCTGTTTGCCAAACATTTTGAAATGACTGATCTCTACTTTTGGCTGCAGACTACTTGCAAGTGGGTATTTCCAGAGAAATATATTCCCTGATCCTCACTTTTATGTATGTATTTCTATCAGTTTGTATGTTTTTCCTGTAAGCCACCTCAAACCCTTTGTAGGATGAGGTAGACAATAAATAGAGACCTAAATCTATACATTAGATGAGTCCATGAAGTGGATATGGAGAACAGATAAGAACCATGTGCAAATGAGTAAATGCTTAGCTACTGAAAGGGAAAAAAAGGTAGCTTCAGTTAAGGAACACATAACCTCTAATCAAGTGTAAAAGTTTAAAAAACTTACAATGGTGAACATGCATGGGACTGTTGTTGTTGATAAGGCACTCTCAAAAAATGAGGCATTCCACTTAAGTAACTTTTTTTCAAAAGCTGAGGCTTATTCTTTTTCAGAGAACACACTTTCTTCCCCTTTTAATAATTTTGTGGAAATTATTCCAAATAGAAGATTACAAACTTTCTGAAATCAACAGAGACTGACAAAATTCATTTTCTCTTTGTGCATACTTGAAAGC